GCATTACACGGTTATAGTTAGTTCCTGTGCTGTCTACCAGAGAGGAGTGCAATACTAGTGCAATACTGTTCAGATGGTGTGGTGTATTGACTCTGCTTAGAGCCTGCTGATGGAAGCACCCCAGATGAGTTACTGTAAATACATCTATTGAACACATTTCTGAAGATGCACTACAAAGAACCTCTATTACGTACCATTCCAAACACTTCACAAAACAATGTGTTTTCGTGACAATATATTGGCTTATATAAGATAATTCAGATTTGTTTGTTTTGCAAAGTGTGTGTATAAAGCCTGTATCTATTTTTGTGGGTCTCCCTTTTGTCCCTATTTCTTGGTACATGTGTTTGTTTACTGTATTGACTTAGTGTTGTGTTTCTTTTGTTGTTTTTTATTTAAGCAATCATAGACTTTATGCAGTACACTGACAACATCTTACACAAGTGACTTGTGTTACACAATATCATGATGCTGGATGTCAAATGATTTTGCGTACAAGAGCTGTGAAATAGGTTTTACAACGTGATATGTTTTGTACATTTTTAAATGACACATGCACAACATGAATGGACACATCACAAAATGAGCACAGATTGAAGCCGCTATTGGCCTTTAGGGGTCAGCAAAGGAGCGTGGGATTCCCTGCTCTCCGATATGTATACTTTCACAAGACTATTTCTTAACCTCACCTTTGTTGTTTTTTCACTATAAATCTATTGTATTTTGTTTTAATATTATTGTACAAAATGTTTAATAAAGATTTTATTTTAGGGCTCAGATAAACATGAGCACTTGTCTCTTTTCTCTAATACTTTCATGAGGCCATTTCTTAATAATGTTTATATTTAATTTGATATTTACTTTTAGGTCAGATTTTTACCAAAAACAACCGATAAGACCGTTAAATGCATATATTTTTTCTGTCACCGTTACTGCAGGATAAATCAAGACCAACAGGTTCCAGATTTCAGCATCAGTCTTATTGAGATGCTGTAAATTTTCACCTCTATTTATATGTCCTCTCTTTTAGAGCCCTTAACCACACACACACTGCCTTTGGGCACACGGTGAACCCATATAAGCACCAGGCAGCTGAAGTCAGCAGTATATAATTATATATGACTAATTTTTACATAACTGGGGTTTTATTCCATCCTAACTTTTCACCAGCAGTTCACTTATATAACAATTTACATCCAACAATCACTTGCATTTTTGTCACTCCAGACATTGTGATACGTCATTATCAGTGGGATGCTGGTCTTCATCACAAAATTAGACTAAAATGTATGAAACACATCAGCAATAGAAGATTTGATACCAACAGGAACATTTTTTTCTCTCTCTCTAATTGCTGTAGGTGGCAAACTTAGAGATTTAGCAAAACACTCATTTATAACATATATACATAAACCCAACGTGTTTAACCTCTTAAAGAGATAGCTCACCCAAAAATAAAATAATTTTCTCACCCTTAGTGATTCCAAACTGGTATGACTTTCTTTATTCTGTGGAACATAAAACATATTTTGAGAAATCGTCACCATAAGGTTCTATCTGCATTCTGAGCCGTTTTGAGGTATTGAGCTTCAAAGTTTTTGCATTCCATATAGTGATATGGGGAACAAGTCTCTTTCATACATCAGTCCCAAAATGTACACAACTTCACAAAAAAAACCAAAAGACAATGTAAATAAGTTGTCACAGAATATGTGAATAACTCAATTTTGACAAAAATGGCAGATAGAACCTTATAATTCCAAGGTGACGAAATGTTTTTTGTCCATTAAATGGAAGTCAATGATCACCAAAATTGATTGGTTACCAACGTTCAATCTTCTTTCGTGCTCCTCAGAGGACATAAAGTCATACGGGTTTGGAACAACATGAGGGTGAGTAAATGATGATTTAAGTACTTCCACAAGTACTTAAAAATGCTTCAATTTGGACTGTAGTTGATATTATCACCATTGTGGGAACTTTCGATCAATATGTCATAATATATTATGCTGTATCTTTTAGATTCAACATTTGTTGTCTTTTGGATCTATTGACAGCATCTGTGACTGTTGATTGCCACAGAAAATTATGCTTGTCTATTAGTTTGTCAAAACAAAAACTGTAATGTTCTTACAATGGAAATGTGAGGAAAACATTCTGGTCAGAAATGTGCAGTTTGTATTATTATTATTATTATTATTAATAACCAACATACCTGTACATGGAAGTTCATAACTATTTTACATTTTGGGGACTTTGAGGCTAATTCATATAAATTTGTACAATCTCACTCGTATGTTTTTTTTCTTTATTTTTTGTATGATCTGCTTATGCCCCACTAATGATTAGGTATAAGGTGGACCTTCATGCTTGTTTTCTCTAAAATCATGCTTTTCTGTATGAATCACATCATACAAAATAATACCTTGTAAAATAGTTGCATTTTCTCATGAGATCAGATTCTAAATAACACAGAAATGTGTGTTGTTTAAACTGTAAAGTTGTCTCCAGTATCCTTTTAGCCTTATGGTTAATTATTACAGAAGTAATTTTAACAACATTTCACATTTTTGGTAATTGACAGCATGCCGTGGATACTGTCAAGAGATTAACTTGTATTGAACCCAGCACATTCCTTTAAGATTCCTCAGTGGAATCATGAGCCATCAAAAAGCAAGCAGTGTGAAGTGCTTATATCTCAGTGAACAGAACCAGTGATTCATTTATCAAGATTTTATTATTGGACTGCAGTACGTACCATAGTTACATTTATAAAATGTTTTCTAACAGAAACCACGGTCATAACAGCAGACCTTTGTACAAACTGTATTATGTGTTCTCTGAAGTCTGGTATACAGTCCATTAGGTTCTGGAGCATAATGGGTAATTAGCCTGATTAGTCTTTATGCCTTTAATCGTGTGGAAATCTCAACAGTCTGTTTGCGCTATATGCTGCTTCAGTGCCTCGTTTTATGGCCCCCTCTTGGAGCTAAATGGTGGTCTGGCTGGCAAAAGCGGGTGGAAAAGAAGAGCATGTCAAAGTTAAAGCAGCGTGGCACAGCTTTAAAAATACACACATAGAGCTCAACACTGCCCCAAATGGACCAGAATGGAACTGACATCTGAAGATGAAATAATATTGCATGAAGGAATATTACAGCTGTCCGGATCAATTGTAGCTACATATTTCTCCAAACTACGTTCCGTATATTCAGCTTCCTCAGCATCCAAGAAAAGAAACGTATCAATGTTAAATCATAACTTAACTGAATTTAAAAATGGAAGATTTGCTGGAAGAAACTAACAAAATGTGAGTGATTTTTAATCCCCTCACGCACCAGCGCTACATGGTGGAACTGGACATCGTCCCAAACCACAAGTTGCTCCAGTTGTTCCTACTGTGCCTCCGCTATTGCTCTCTCTTTTCCCTTTCCGCTTCCTACATTCTCTTCTATTTCTCTCTCATAATCTTTCACCTGTAGTACTCCAAGAAAATGATGTAATTTGTATGAAATCATGAATAGATACAATCTATTTAGGAAAACAGAACTGTGCTAATTGCTTAACAGTGTGTAACACCTCTGTTTGGAGAAATGTCTTATTGGTGTGGAAGCATTTACATCCTCTTTCTGATGCAGATCTACCTGCTGGATTGCACAAAATCGTTGCCATTTGCTAAATGGCAAGGACTATGAAAGAAGTCCTTTTTAAAAAGACCTGTGAGTTGTGCACACGCAATTGCATTTCAACATTTGGAGCAATTCCTTCTGCACAGGTAAGATAGGCCACAAATGCAGAAATATACAACTGTACAAGTGCATGAGGTTGACAGATAATGCCAAGTCAAATCTGAGTGATTTGTTCCAGTGCGATTCTTGGACATGCTCTGGTATGTCAGCTCTTCTGCTTTCACTGCTGACAGCACAGTTATTTGTGACAGTAAACTGTATTATTATGCATAACCGGCTCAGTGTGCCATCAAGACTCTGACTGGGAACCTTTAAAAATGCCACTTTGATACAGTTTTATGAATATTAAAAGCCCATATTAGCCATGATTACTTTTATATGGATGGAATATATGCTGCATGTTTTTGACATCCAAATATGAGATGCATCCCAGAAAATATGAATATAACGATGCAAAATCTCTCTTGTAAATAGGATCTAATCTATAGAGGATACACAGCTCAGTCATTTATAAGAAAATTCTGTAGTTTGTCAATGTAGTTTTATGGAGTAAACAAAGTAAGCCCAGAGAATGAGTAAAAATGCTGCTGCAATTAGTTATTACAACCTAAAATTTGTTGAGATAACTTAATTATTTTATGTAAATTAAAGTTAACTGAACTTTAAGTCGAGCACAAACACTTACTTTTTTTAAGTTGAAACAACACATTATTACTTATTCTGACGTTAAATTTTAAGTTGCGATAACTAATCACAGCAGTCATTTGTTACAGTATACCAAATGTGCAGGAGAAAATTATATAGCACATTTAGCACATTATATATGAATACATATATATGTGTGCTATGTAACATAACAATAAAGTATTACATGATATTAAATCATAACACCCATTAACCTAATAAAAACAAATCTGACAATTATACAAGAACTGCACCATTTTCAAAATGGCAAAAAATAAAAAATAATAAAAAGAAATAAATAAAAACAAAATAAAAAAGTTACAGGTGCTACACTGCTGACTTACAGTACTATTAGCCATATTTGTAACCACAATTCAATACTGGCATATACGATAGGACTGTAGCTAAAATGGAAATTTTTTCATCTTTGAATTGTCATTGAATGTCAGTTCTTGCTGAATTTCACACACAGAGAAGCTGGTGGTTTCTGATTGAAATGCTTTGCACATCTGGCCTTTTGTCAAAGAGACCGCTAGACATTTCACAGCTAAGAACCCTGAGAAAAACTCATTGACCGACTTTTAAACATGTAGCCATACGCTGCGGTGCATAAGATTACTCATACTTTGCGAGTGTGCTGAGCAAACCCGGTTTATCATTCTCTGTGGGACCGCTGCACTCGGTCTCATTCAAAAGTGAAACTAGGAACATAAGGTCTGTTTTATTAAACACTTTTGGGAGGTCTGGGAGACTGGATCCATCAGCTGATGGATGGAGGAAACAAACCTTTTCCATATGGCTACCGCAATGGCTTCTTCTAGCTCTGGTGGGCTGGTGAGCTTTACTGTACACATCATTTGGCTCTCCGTTGGGAAGTAACCTCACAAGAAGATTATGGCGTTACTGCTAATGACACCCATTACCACTCACATGTTACAGCTCTATAAATAACATTACAAAATTTGTGGATTATTCAATATACTTTAAGTTAAGTCAACCATAAACCATTTGAGATAAAGGAAACATTTACCAGACATATCCAGTAGAGATGGATACATATTACTTTTCTGAAACACAAACTATTCTACACCATCCCCATGATTTCAGTGAAAGCGTATACCAGAGTAAAACCAAAGTTATCTCTCTTATGCTCTGGATCCTAAGGGCTGATAGCCATGATTCAAATACATCATTTACATTTGTAGGTTAATCTGAATTATAATATTTCACAAGATGAGAACTCACCAAATAAAACTCTAACAGCTGACAAAATATAAAGAATGTAATGCTTCAAACAGGACCCGGAGTATAAAGTGGCTCTAGATGTCATGCAGTCTATGCCTTGATATACTGGAGGCCCAGTACCAAGGTATCCAGTGTAGAAATCGTTGAGTTGCCACTGATGTCACTTCCTGTGGGGGGCTGGGGGGGCGATGAGGACAAGATTTCAGATAGTCTCCTGCTGGACCGCAATGTCCGATCCATGCCTGCGTTCGGTTAGAAGCAAGGGTTTAGAGTTCGACTTTGGCTGTAGCTTTAACTGGTGACAGCGAGAGAGATTAGCGCTGAGATTTGAGGGTCTTTCATTGAGCCCACCTTCAGCACTGAGAAAACTCTTTCTGTAGATGTCAACAGCACTTGACCCACCAGAAGGGTCTTCCTAGCAGGCAAAGTCCTCGAAGACTCGGTGATGGGTACGGTGGTGGTGATGGTGATTTGGGAGGATGGTGTTAGCATAGGCTCCCTCCGAGTGGCTCCGGCTCATCTCGCCAGAATCCTGACAGGAACAGAAAATGTCAGACAGGATTCTACAAGAATACTTCCAACTCCTACATCTTACACACTGCTAGGTTGTGAATAAAACGCTTCTTATGACTAATGCTGTGACTCATTGTTTAATCTGTGTTGTGATAAAGTGAAAATCCACTCGAGGCTGAGTGTTACAGTGGTTTATCATGGTTAAACCCCTTTAACCATGGTAAACTCATTGTTATGCACCGCCTTGAGTGGCTTATTGCATCTATAAAATGGTGGCAACAGTACCATGATTAAAGACACTGAATTTTTAACTAATATTATCATGATATAAAGTCTTCTGCCATGTAGTCTTTTAGTTTGTAGTTTTCAAACTGGGGTCTGCGAATCTATGGGGTGTGCGAGGAAAATTTCAGCAAAAAGTATATACACTACTGTTCAAAATTTGGGGTCTTAAAGAAATGAATACTTTTAGATTGCTACAAAAATGTCAAGTAAATGCTGGTCTTTTGAACTTTTTTTAATTTATCAGAAATTCCTGGAAATAGTATTCAAAAAATATTAAGCAACACAACTGTTTTCTACATTGACAACAATAAGAAATGTAAGCACCAAATCAGCATTTTAGAATGATTTCTGAAGGATCGTGTGACTCTCACACACACACACACACACACACACACACACACACACACAAATATTTTTACATTTTGTGTATATACATTTATTTACATTTTGTTCTCTAAAGATTAATCATGAAATTATGAGTTTAATCACACCTATTTTAATTTTATTATGATAATATTTCTCCTTTTTTTTTGGTTTTAGTACAGTAACAATATGCAGAAAAATGCCTATACAGTTTATTGGCTATTTTACACTGGCTTCAGCATGATTCAGATTTTAGAGCTGTAACTTTATAATGACTGAACAATCTTGGGTCAAGACCCACTGGCCATGCGCTGAATCCAATTAGTTTTGAACATACTCCATTTCTCATGAATACAGTGTGCTCTGCCAACATCTGTGTTCTTCTTCCATAAACAGAAGATCGGATTGCAACAAGAACAAGGGAGATTTGATTCAATCCTGGACTAAGCAGACAGCCTGGCATCCCAATCATGGCTCAATATCCTGCTGCTGATGTTATATTTCCCTCTGGGCTTTGTTCCTATTCATAGAGTTGATCTGTGCTGCATCCAGTAACGCTCCAGAGATTAGCATGTGGCTCACCTTAGCTTTCATTTCCTCCAGCTTTACTGTGGCGACTGTGCTGGCCTGTTGCTGCCGCTGGGTTTGCTTTTTGTCATCTCTTTGTGACCTAAGCAAACGCTCCAACCTGTGTTTGATCACCTAGGAAAGTGAGGGGGAGTCAGGGTGACGAGGGCAGCAGGGAAAGTAGGACAAATGAGGGCTATAAACAGAGTTTAGCAGCATCAGCATTTCTGCTGCTCAGCTCAGAGGTCCAGTCTTATCTGTTCTTTTGGTAAATACTGCTCACAATGTAAAAACACTGAAGGAAAAGAGCTATTGGTTCAAATGAATGGAGGTGGAATGGGAAAAAGGGGCCAAAACAATACACGCTTACCTCATATACATAATCCAGAATCTCCAAGATGGTGAGAACACTGGCTCCTATAAAAAGACCCATCTGCCCACCAATGTCCCCTGAAATAAAAAAGTAAGAACGAGTAGAACGATTTGCACGATTTTTTTTCAACACAAATTGTCATTTGCAACACATACTCTGTGATATGCCATATTTCTGACTGAAACAGGGTTGTTATTTTACACTAAAACTATTAAGAATCTTTTTTGTTAATTGAAATAAATTTAAATATTAGATGAAAAAAAAACTTGTACTATAATTAGAAATGTTGCCTTAACAATTAACTGAAATAAAATATGTTGAAGTTTAAGTATTAAAATTACTAAAACTAAAACACAAATAAATTGAAGCTAAAGACATATATATATATACAGTGGGTACGGAAAGTATTCAGACCCCCTTAAATTTTTCACTCTTTGTTATATTGCAGCCATTTGCTAAAATCATTTAAGTACATTTTTTTTCCTCATTAATGTACACACAGCACCCCATATTGACAGAAAAACACAGAATCGTTGACATTTTTGCAGATTTATTAAAAAAGAAAAACTGAAATATCACATGGTCCTAAGTATTCAGACCCTTTGCTCAGTATTTAGTAGAAGCACCCTTTTGATCTAATACAGCCATGAGTCTTTTTGGGAAAGATGCAACAAGTTTTTCACACCTGGATTTGGGGATCCTCTGCCATTCCTCCTTGCAGATCCTCTCCAGTTCTGTCAGGTTGGATGGTAAACGTTGGTGGACAGCCATTTTTAGGTCTCTCCAGAGATGCTCAATTGGGTTTAAGTCAGGGCTCTGGCTGGGCCATTCAAGAACAGTCACAGAGTTGTTGTGAAGCCACTCCTTCGTTATTTTAGCCGTGTGCTTAGGGTCATTGTCTTGTTGGAAGGTAAACCTTCGGCCCAGTCTGAGGTCCTGAGCACTCTGGAGAAGGTTCTCGTCCAGGATATCCCTGTACTTGGCCGCATTCATCTTTCCCTCGATTGCAACCAGTCGTCCTGTCCCTGCAAATGAAAAACACCCCCACAGCATGATGCTGCCACCACCATGCTTCACTGTTGGGACTGTATTGGACAGGTGATGAGCAGTGCCTGGTTTTCTCCACACATACCGCTTAGAATTAAGGCCAAAAAGTTCTATCTTGGTCTAATCAGACCAGAGAATCTTATTTCTCACCATATTGGAGTCCTTCAGGTGTTTTTTAGCAAACCCCATGCGGGCTTTCATGTGTCTTGCACTGAGGAGAGGCTTCCGTCGGGCCACTCCGCCATAAAGCCCCGACTGGTGGAGGGCGGCAGTGATGGTTGACTTTCTACAACCTTCTCCCATCTCCCGACTGCATCTCTGGAGCGCAGCCACAGTGATCTTTGGGTTCTTCGTTACCTCTCTCACCAAGGCTCTTCTCCCACGATAGCTCAGTTTGGCCGGACGGCCAGCTCAAGGAAGGGTTCTGGTCGTCCCAAACATCTTCCATTGAATGATAAAAAGCACTTGGTAAAATTATATAATAAAATTAAAATTAAAACAAAAAAATATATATAATAAAACTAATTAAAATATTAATAACAATTATAATAGTATATAAATAGTACTAAAATAACACTGGACTGAAAGAAGATTTTGGGTGATCCAATAGCTGAAGTGTTTTGAAGTCATTCATGAGAAAGAAAAAGTTCTTATAATTTGATTAAATTATACAAAATTATACAAACATGTTTCTTCTTTGGAAAAAATGTGCACCAATGAATTTTTCACAATAACACCATATGCATTAAGAAAGTAAAGAGAATTGATTTTAATTTCATATTGGTTCAGAAATTCTCAAGTTTAGGTGTTCTGAAAACTACTTGAAGTTAAAATGAAGTTGTAAAATGAGGCTTATGAGACCTACCTAATAATCCTGCAACGTCATATGCTTTTTTCTGTTCTATTGTTTCATAATTTAGAGCTTCAAAGAAAATGTCCAACACAAGGAAGTTGTCCCTAAAACAAAAGGATAATAAAACATTTATGTGTAAATCACATATATTCAGAAACAGTACAGTACTACATCTGTTTCAAACTATACTGAAGGTGGAAAGGCTGCCACACCTGATGTAGTCTTCAGACTTGTCGTATTTTCTAGATAGGTAGCGAGCTGAGCCTTTGCTGGGGATTTTAACCATAGACAGCTCTTTACCATAACGCGTCAGGTTACAGGGAGTTTCACAGGAGCATGTGTCACCTGAACTTGTCTGCAGCAGTGCTGCGAAGAGGACACACACGTCAGTTTAGAGCAGCAGACAGATGTGAGTGTGTGTGTGAGAGAGAGAGAGAGAAGGTGCTCCAGCCCACACCTGCACACCCATTCTTCATTCATCAAACTAATGTGGAGAGATAACACCAGCGCTAAATAATTATCCATAAGATGCTTGAAACACACTCAGCAAGTTGTTCAGATTTAATTTGGTTTCTGATCCATCCAGAAGAGAGCACACACACTCTCACATGCACACTCACACATAGATATAATATACTCATATATAGAAATTAAGCTGTACAGTATGTCTCTATTATCATATTTCAAGTATGTATAACTACTATTCAAATGTTTGTGGTCTGTAATATATTTTAATGTTTCTGCAAGAATCTCTTGCTCACCAAAGCACCAAAAAAATAAAGTAAAGTAAAATAAAATAAAATAAAATAACATTGTGATATATTATTACAATTAATATTTTCTATTTTAATATATTTTAAAAAGTAATTTATTCCTGTGATGGCAAAGCTAAACGTTCAGCAGCTATTACTCCAGTCTTCAATGTCACATCTTATTTGCTGATTTGGTGCTCAAGCAACATTTCTTATTATTATCAATGTTGAAAACAGTTGAGCTGCTTAATATTTTTGAAGGACCCATAATAAAAAAAATTTCCAGCAGTGCATCTGTGAATTGTTTTGAAGTTATATATGAATCTCAATGCTTTTAGATTAGATTTTAAACTTTTTTTTTTTTTTTTTTTTTT